TTCGTTGTGAAAGCTAAACTACTTTGTTTGGCCTTCCAAAAGAGGACACGACTAGAAATCAGTGGTTAAGTTGTATTTACAACACTGTTCCAGAACACTTCAACCCAAATATTCAGATGTGTGCAGCACATTTTACGGAGGACTGTTTCTTGGGAGAGTAGCCGCCGGCGCGATGCAACGCAACGCGTAAAATGACAGTATAAGTCATTATAATCCGTATTTATGTCCCCACTGGATGCTACAAATGCCTCGTTTGTAATGGGTTTTATTGGTTTTGTCTGGTCACACCGGGACACGACATCACAGTATGGTAAAGAGCGTAACATTTCCGTCACACGCTTGAGGTATTCGGCCAATCACAACGCACTGGATATCTGGCCAATCAGAGCACACCTCGCTTTTCAGAACGATGAGCTTTGTAAAAATCAACGCGTTTCAGAAAAGTGGGGCATAGAAGAGAAACAATAACGTACAGTATGTGGAAAATAATGTGTTTTTTGAACCTTAAACCGCATAAACACATTTCATTACACCAAATAATGTTATTTTTTAGCAACGTCATATGATCCCTTTAACGATCTAAGCGCATGGCACATGTGCACTTAGGGCGTGTCCGAATCCACTTTTGCTAGTTTAAAGACGGAAAAAAACGGTCTGCGCGCCGGGCGCATGGTCCAAAAGGGTTGTACCTATTCTCTTAATGAGTCATGGGTGTGTTTTGGGCGTAACGTGCAATAAAACAATCAGACTGTCATCTCCCATTCCCTTTAAACGCCACTTGCACTTGCACCATGGCGGATTCGCTATTTACATGGCGGAATTTGCAAGAGCAAAGACTGAACGCTTCTCCAGAGAGGAAACGGATCTGCTCGTGCGCGAGGTTAAAGCGCGCAAGCAGACCATCTACGGGGAACAATAATAATCTTTTACACTGTAATCCTTTCATTTTTATTATCTGGCATATTTGTGTGATGCAGCGCGACCCTGTGTGTGTAATAAGCAGAGTGTACGCGTGTTGTTCACATGCCTATAGGCGCATATTACTAACGTGCCCTTAAAAAAAAAATACTGCGCCATTGACTTTAGACCAGGTTTTAGTTGGTCAATGGCAATCGTTTTCAGTTGCCTCATAATAGCAACGCGCCAACAATGCGCTGAACACACCTCGTGTTCAGACCAGCACGCCCATGGGCGTACAAATGGGCGCAAGTGCATTTGGTATTTAAACAACGTGGCACTGGATGTGAAAATGATAACTGCATCGAGCTGAAACTACCAAAAACGCTTGCGTCGAGCCAGTATTAATTTCATCATCGAAGACGACGACGAAAAATATTCCTTAACGAACATTTTTTCTGTGACTAAGACGAGACGTTGACGAGCTAAAACTAATATCGGATGATAAAAACTATGACGAAATTTATGCCGCGTCTTTGTTAACAAGACGAGACGGGACTATAATGTTATTTGAGGACTACCGGACATTCAAAATACATCCTATAGGCTACTGTCTTGTCCTTCAAAATGTGCGTCCCTGTCATTGGATTGATAAGGGGCGTTTGCATATCTAGTCTCAGTATGGCAGCCGCAGTGG